ATAATGATTTCAAAAAATAAATGAGGTTGTGATTGTTGATGCAACATTTATCCAATAGTGTAAAATAGATCAGTACATTTATAAGAAACATCAAAATTATAATAGAAAACAAGATTCAAAACATCATTAGCACATATCTATTATATCAATACCACAATTAGGTAGTAACATAAGGTGAGTAACCAAGTTCATCTATTTGAGGTTGAACTGATGTGTTTTACCTCATGTTTTCAACTGTGTCTTCAGGCATGGGGGCCACTGTTTGAACGGCTGGAAGATTTGTACTTGTAGCTCCATTTACAAAACTGGAGGAAGATGATGAGGTGGTGGAGGTTGGCTCAGTGGCTCCTGGAAAGCATCAAAACAATAAAACATTTATGAAGAACAAAACATTTCTTTACATCCTCAAAACATTTCTTTACATACTCTTTTTATAATACAGTAGTCTCTAATAGGTTTACAGAACGTTTACTGCTAGGATACAATTTTAAATATTTTAATAACGTTACATATATACCAGTGGCAATTTAGCCTCTTTTTAGAGGTGTTCAAGCACCCCTAAATTTTAACTCAGCACCCCTGAAAATTATTTTTTTTTTGTTTGTTTGTTTGTTTGTTGTTGTTGTTGGTTTTTTTTTGGGGGGGGGCTCCATTTATTGCATTTATAATTCCATGCAACAAAATAAACAAATTGTAATACTTGGTTTATTTACATAATGACTTTAGTTGCTGGATGTCTGGCCCCTGAGCTGCTGGCTTTCAGTAACTGTGGCCCCCTGAGCACTTTACTTGAGTAGTCCTGCTTTAGAGGGTGGAATACAGTTTATTCCATTTCCAAAACCTAAACTGAGTCTGAAAAAATGTTAAATATGGATAAAGCCCTGCGGCTGACCTCATGAGCAGCTGAATACAACCGTGATAAATAGTAAGTACCACATGTTCATCTGTACGAAGGTAACTGCAAGAAAATCCTCAATTTTCTGTCAAAATTACATCATGTGTTTAATGGTTAAATTAAAGGTTAATGCTTAAAGCTTGTTTTACTATGTTTTGTGTGTTTTAAATATAGATATATGTTGTAACTTCTGGTTACATAAGTTTATTCTTTGCTTGTTATGATCAGTTAACAATAAACTGATTTTGTACAAAGCGTTTATTATGTTGTGTAATGTAAAGCAGAGTGACATGTCTGTAGCGTCTTAAGCCCTATTCGCATGGGATTAGTTTTATCTAGGGACCACATGCTATTTGCAATAATTACGTAGATTGTCTGTGTTGTTAATCCTGTGCGAATCGGCCATGTCAATAATTTGTAAGGTAAAAATTCCCCTGCAAATTACCTACTATATTTTGCTGAACTCCGAGGTCCTGTGATAATACTAATCCAATGCGAATAGGCATTTCTGTGACTTGGCCAGAAATTGGGCAGGATCTGATATGTAATTAGGCGTTTTTTGTTTTAGTTTTCTAAGCAAAATCATTTGGAAAAATATAAAAGCAAGGCTATTTAAAATGAACGCACTTCTCGCTTCGGCTTTTGTAGATTTTGATACACCGCAAATGACAGCAGGTGCAGAGACGCGCCTGATCAGCTGACCCATCCATCCGTTCATCTAATATATTTACCTGCTTCTTCCTTTTCGGGTAGCGGGAGTCGCTGGTGCCCATGTCCAGCCATCACTGTTCGAGAGGCAGGGGACACACTGGACAGGTCGCAAGTCCATTTCAACCCGTGGGTCAGCAGACGCGCAGCCACACATGCGTGCGGTGAGTGACATGTTGTCCATCTGAGCTAAACGTGGCTTTTTTACCTCTTAAACCGGCTGGTCGGACCTGCTTCCTCCTCAACAAGTAGATTAACACAATTTTATATTGTGCATTCTTTAGTTTTCTTTGTGCTGATTCGTAAAACCACATCAAAGCCTGAGACATGCCCGACCCGCACATTAATCACATTATTTGGACCAGCCCAGTTATACGCAGTGCGTTAACATCATATCCGGAAGATGCCGGTAAATTTCAGCTAAATCTCAAGCTTTGGTTATCCCGTGCGAATGTGCCACATAAAAAGCAGACGTTGGGGAGTAATTCATTTATTACATGTTGTCCTAATGTAAAACTAATCCTGTGCGAATAGGGCTTTAGCTACCACGTCTGTATTGTGAGCTGCTAGCTTAGCGCTATTTCTTGTTGTGCTGAGCTCTCTAAAATAGTTATTGAAACAAGTGTTTAATTATAGAGATAAACAAATATATTTAACACCCTGTTAAAATACACCAGAATGCAGGAAATGACATCTACTTTATTCAAAAGTATTCTGGGGGAGGACCCCTAGACCCCCAAATGTGGCCCTCGTTGACATCTTATCTGGCCCCCAAGATGATATGTTAAACGTAAAATACTTTTTTCACGTTCATTTTTTCAGTAATCTTTGATTATGGTGTCAAAATGTTATGTTATGAGTGCTTAGTGTATATTTAGTTGATGTTTTTCTTAGTTCATATCTTAGATGTTATTAATGTTTTTCTTTTGCATTTTATTGTTAGATGTAACTGGGACCCTGTGTACATAATTTCGCTCCACCACATGAGTTGCGAATGACATTAAAGAAACTCTGACGCTGACTCTGACAAAAGTGCAACAGAGAACGACAAATGAGACAAACCAAACTCTTTTTGAGGAAACAGCAAACAAGAACGTATGTTGGGTATCTAACTTAAGTTAATGTAGATTCTGAAACTGGCCCTTAGTTTGAAAAATGTTTTAATTTTGGCCCCCTTTTGTAAGTGAGTTTGACACCCCTGCTTTAGACTGTCATATATTACTGTATTTCTACACTATTTTGTTTGATTAATATGCTGTATACAGAGATGTTATTGTATGCTTACGCTATATTGCTTTTTTGTGTGTGTCTTTGATTTCTTATATTTACTGGAGGTTTTGTTGTCATTGTTTTTCTCATCTGTGTAATCTTGCTGCTGTGGCATGTACATTTTTTCCTGCTGTGGATCAGTAAAGTGTCATTTTATACTATTTTAAACTACATGTGTGCATTTGCCAGAAATCAACTTAATGTATTAAGCAACAACAAATGACTATAACAAACCAGCTAGAAAACATCTCAAATTGGTATGTTTCTTAGTTTTGGTAGCGAAGCAAAAATTTGAAACTGGGACAAAGGTCATTGAAAGGTAAATTTTTTCCATATTTTATGCAGTGCAATAATTATATATATATATATATATATATATATATATATATATATATATATATATATATATATATATATATATAATTAAAAATAAATAAATAAAATAAATAAATATTATATATATATTCAAAATGTCCCAAGAGGGGGTAAAACCAGTAAAAAAAAGAAAAAGATAATGGGGTTTGGGTGAGAGTCTGGTTTTAACTTAAAGCAAATTTTCTCTAATACATTTCTAACATTCTTGTACAGAAGAAGAATGCAAGTTTTTTTAAAGAGCCCATTGGGAAATATGTTGGAGCTTCTAATAGTTTTGGCTCTAAACTGGCTCCTTTCAGACACCCAGACCGAGGCTGGAGGTGAGACTGGTTCAACATAGCAGAGGCCCAGAAGGAGCAGCATGTCAGCAAAGCAGAGGGAGAGTTAATGCTATCAGACAAGAATGCACATTTCACATGAAAGCTCTGTGTGCAAATACATTCTCACAATTATAAAGTACCTGTTTTACTGGTAGTTTCTCACAGACTAACTGGGGCAGAAGGAATAATAGCTGTTTTGAAGGGACAGACTGTTTCTTTAATGTGCAATCAAGGCTGATGGGAAACAGAGTAGAGAGAGCCATCTAGTGGTTTCATAAATGACACACAAAATACATTATCCTATTTTTTTAGGTTTCATTTTGCTTATCCATTGGCATTAACATAAAATAAAATAAAAAGCCAAAGATGTCATTAGGGTAAGCAGGATTTTTAAAGTGCTTTGATGACACAACTAAGAATAAACCCTGAAGTAAGTAAGCTTCTTTCAGCTGCTCTGTCTTCAGGGTTGCCACAGCAAGCAAACTCGCATAAAATATTTGGCATTTGTTTTACACCGAATGAACTTCCTGATGGAACCTGAGCTCAAACCCGCAACCTCAGGATTACAAGAACATGACAATGACCACCAAGCTACTGCAGCCCCCCTGAAGTGTGTCCAGTAATTATATGTATGACCCACCAGTTGTGTTGATCATGCTTTTAGGGGTTGCAGAGGCAGCAGCAAAGATGTTGGGGGTGCTGCATGTAGTCAGTCCAGGGGAGGTGCTGCTGCTGGTGGTTCCCTGTGGGTTCACTGGTAAACTGCCAGGGGAGGTTTTCTTTAAGGGTACCACCACACTCCTACAGAAAAAAATAATAATAATAATAAAAAAAACAATAATTAAGATTTACAATAGAATGCATGTGAGAAAAAAACAAAACAAAGACACGTTTTTAAAATATGGTAAAGCAGGTTTATTTTTTAAAATAAACCATAAAACCAATAATAACTCAATGTGCTGTAGCAAACAGGCCGTAACAGTGGACTCAAATTGTGATTATTATTTTTTTCTCCCCAATTGTTTCAAAATGTAAACTACATAAATGCTGAAAAGTACTTTGAATGAAATTCATCTATTTATTTATCTGTCTTAGTGCAAATATGTACAAACAAGTCCAGCATTTTATATTTTTTGTAAATATATCATGTATCAATTAACTGTTTTTACTTTATGAAATATCCCCATAACAAAAATAAATACATAAAATAAAAAAGTTATCATAGGAAAGACGTTAAAACCATAATAGATATCTTTTTTATATACATTTGTAAATATTAGTAGCATATTGAGGTAAATTTTAGTGGCATGAGACATTTGTAAATTTGTTGTGTGGTAGGGAGCAGTCCTTCTGGTATATTTAATTTATCTAATCTTCAATATTTGTTATGCTTCATAAATAAACAAATAGACTAAAATATTTTTATTTTTGTATGCTGATAGTTTAAACATATCCAATCATTAGTTAGGACCTATAAAAAGTAAACATCTTGACTTATAACTTTATTTTTTTATATAGTAAGCGGACACAAAACATTCAAAAACGAGAAACAAATTAAAGCATGGACTAGTGTTTGAGGTACTACGCCTCCATTACATTTCTGTTTCTATCTTTCTATTAAAAGAGCTACAACCAGTTAACAGATTCTGCAGGAGAAACTAGGTATTGAGCAAATTTATCATCCAGTTCTGACATTTACATTTTAAAAATGATAGATGGTCATCTGTCCAAAATTCACGTAAAATATCTTTAAGAAAAAAATCAATGTTTTATAATTGGACTTTTTAAGTTAAATTTAAGCCAAAAAATGTATCCTATTTGTTTTTATAAGAAGTGCCTAAAACTTAGAGTCTAACTTTTTAGCAAGTTATCATATATTAGTTTTATAAAGATGTAGCAAAACATGAAGTGATTCATGTATAAAAACGTCAAATAAGTAACTCTTTAAAGTTTTCCAGTAGCGTTAGAAATTATATATATTTATTTTGATCTTTATTTAAGGGTTGAAAACCAGTTCTCATTTATAAATATGGCCGATTAAAAAAATAAATAATCCCAAAATAAATAAATAAATATAATTAAACAAACACGTAAATAAATAAATAAATAAATAAAATAAATAAATAAAATAAAAAAAAAAGATACTTCGTTAAAAGTCACTTTCTTACATTGTAATGCATTTTTTTGGGAATAATGAGAAACAAACTGGGTCGATCTATAATGAAACTTTCAAAATACTTCTATGATATATATATATTTATATATTTATATATTAAGTTGTAAAAACCTCTGGACTTCTCTTTTAGAGCCACACTTTGTCAACTTGACTGAATAAATTTCAGAGCCATAAGCTTACAAATTAACATCGAAGTCATGTGAATCAATGTTAATTTTGAATATACCAACAATTATAAAGCAAATGCCTCTAAAAGTGTAAGCCATATTAATTTCTTGTCTATAATGACAGGTGAATTAGACCGTAAGCTCCCACTGCCCATAATCAACACCAAAAACTATGTAATAGCTTCAAGGTTATGTTTTAGGGGGAAAAAGTAATCTTTTTTTTTTTCATTTTGACACAATACCAGACTTAAAATAATAACAAAAATGATTATTATTCATATGGGTACATAAACGTTTGCCATTGGGCATAGACTTTAAAAAAAGTTCACTCTAAATAAGTATGTCTCTATTATTTATAGAAGCTCCCACATAGAATATTATGTAGTGTTAAAAAGGGAAAAAAAACACTGTTCGATATTTAAACATGCAACGAACAGAAGCTTGTGGAAGCTGGAGCTAAAAATTGCTCGTGTGACCTTGTGGGTAGGAAAGCACAGACACACCACCAACTCAGCCGACCGTTGTTCACATGAGGTCTGATCGGTTGAGGATTAAGAACGATGCTTTGAGCTCGTCCCTGCGAGAGGTCCCGGACAGAGGAGAAGAAAACTGTCCTTATCAGGTCTGCAGCTGGCCTTTGAGTTTGTGAAGGTGCCAGATAATGTCCCGCTCAGTCTCCTGCAGTTACTCCAAGTGACAAAGGCCAGGCCTGTGCGCTGTCACTAGCTAAGCCTGTTGTCATCTGCAGCAAATCCCCAGATATCCTGCCTTTACAAAACACAGATTTTTGTCTTTTTTTTGTTGTTGCTGTTTTATGTCCACAGTCCATCCTGTGTATCACAGGACAGGATCATGCTGCAGGAAACAAACCTGCGCAGTTGCTTTGCAATTAGTTTGACTGTATGACTGATTGGCTTAAAATAGCCAAAGTTTAACAAAAGCGATGTCGTTTTTCTCATTCGATAAATCAAGCAAAAAGTACATACTGAGAAAGAATGTTGCCTAGTGGTCAGCCATGTAACAATATATAAAATCAAAAAATAATAACAAAGGCCTAACATTTCTAGAATGAATACATGTGATTCACAAAGTTTGACAACATTTTGGGTCTTAAAATCAACCGCGTTATAGTTAGTTCTGTGTCAGGGTCAGTTGACTGTGGTGGCCATCTTGAATTGGGTTGTCTCCAAAAGTTATTTGGTGATGTTCAACCAGTGATAACTTTTTGTGCATTTCAACAACATTTATCTAGTAGTTCATGAGATATTTTGCAAACAGCCACATGGGCAAAACATTATTGGTTGCCTTTTAACTTTCAGTGTCAGGTGATAAAATTAATTTTTGAAGTCTGAAAGATCAAAATGAGCAAAACCACAAAAAGGAGGAAGAAAGAACAATCAAGAAAAGAACTGCTTGAAACCTAACTAAAATATATATCAGCTGTGCTCTGAAGAACATTGACAGTGAGCATATTGTTTTTAGTAGAGCTGTGTGCAGTTATCTTCTGTGAAACTGCACTGATAGATTTCAGAACATAAGCAACATGTTTTGGTTGCAGGAACTGAGTGTGAGTTTATTCTTGCTCTCCAAACATATCCTATATTCCTGCGGAAGCCGGCCGTTTCTTTGGCAAGCCTGAGACGGTACATTAGATCTACAGGATGTTGATAAAACGTGGACCTCCTTCCATGAATTATTCATTAGTCAAGTGCTCATGAATCATGTATAGATTATCTAGTGCATATTTTATTAATAGGATTGCCTTAATTGAGTTGCAGAGAATAAAGCAAGGATTAATCTTAGGATGAATATTAATGAGGTCTGTGGCGATGGGAGATAACATGGGCAAAAAGTATAACCAAAGAAATGTTGCCTTTATAATTTCTAAATAAGATTCTAATCGAATTGCGTTTTAATCAGAAACAGTATAAAAGATGTATTCTGTGCTTACGTTCCACCCACAAATCTAATAACAGTTATCACTGCTCTGCATCATGTGGAAGCTAAAGACAAACAATATCTATAACTTGGAAAGTTGGGAAAGAAAACGGTGGAAAGTTGCAGATTATTGTTTTTATTTTTTCCCCACTGTAATCCCACCGGTCAAATGAAAGTGTGCATAGTGCAGCTTAAACTTGCTCTCTATGACAGACTGCCCCTGTGCACATCACTAAGCCATTTTTTCTCACCTTTTTTGATGTTGTCATTCCCAATCTATTTTTGCCCTGACAGACAAATGAAAGGCCTTTCCATGGCTGGCAGCTCATTTTGCAGGCAGGTGGTGAACAATTAGACACAGCAAATAGAGGCGGGAGGGTGAGTGACATGAAAAGCATGAGACAAAGTTGTAAATGTGATCTGGAGGTTTTGTGTGAAAGCATTTCAAAAATAATACTCTTTGCTGTGGCGATTCATTTCAGGCTGCCAGTTCCCATTATGGATGTGAGCGGTGAGGATGATGGCCGGCCATGGTGTGGTGCTTGGCCACTTCTGTTCAATCTGTCATCAACACCCAGGAGACCCCTACCCTGTCAGCTGTCCTTTCTCCACACACTCCATCTTTCCCCCGTTCATCAGGCTCACCTCAGACCAATGCAGCAACAGAATAAATTAAAGTAAAGAAGAAACCCCATTGTTGCTCTTCACGTAGTGATGTGTCATTTCTCCCTTTTCTTTCAGGGTTTCAAGTTGCTGTATTGATGTAAACAATCTAAAAATAAAGGTCTACCATTCCTTGATGGTATATTTCACACAGCCCTTCATACCAGAGTTTCTGACTAAATGTTTCTGTTTTGAAATGGCAAAGTTATAGCTGTGTTTGCTCTCTCATGGGATATTGTGATATCTCACATTATCTGTGAATGCATAGAACATATTTTGTAGAAACACCATCCAATGGTTCATTTTGATTGATATGTTTTTAGAACAAAGTTGACTTTAGTTGTTAATGACAAAGTACTAAAAACAGCTCTCACTTAATCAACTGGCTCTAAAGGTGTTGGGAACTAAAGGGGATGACTCTCAGACAGTACCATACTAAATTATGATATAGCTCAAAATCTGTAAATCTAGATGAGTTATAGCCTTTTTTGTGTTTGCTATGGTAGCTTAAATGTGGCAGCCATCTTGAATCAAGTTACAGTAGTCCTTCACTACTTCACTGTTCAACTTTCGCGTACTTGCTATATTGTGGTATGTCCATGCACATTAGCATATAAAAAACGAAAAAAAAAAAAAAAAAAATAAAAAAATATATATATATATATATATATATATATATATATATATATATATATATTGTACAGGACACATGATTGTCAACTTTATATTACTCACGTAATTGGGACAGTACTGGATACAGTACTGTACAGTAAAATGTTAACAAAAAATAAAATACTTCGAACAGGCGCCACCATTTTGTAGTTTTAACTCAATAAACTTATGCTGTATTCCTGCTCATAACGACCACATTTCCCAGAAGCCAACAGGGCCCCACCTAGAAACCCTGTTTCCTTCTGCTGAAATACTAGAGGGAACATTTTGATCTGATCGGAAAATGTTCAGAGCTTATTAGTGACTTTGGTGCCCAGTGGATGCAGAGAGACGCATGGAACCCGAACTGGACCAGAACCAGAGCAGAACCGACCCCCAGATCCATTGATGAATCTTGAGAGCTCGTAGCTGGCCCACGAGGACTTCTGAATGGGGATGCGCACCTCCGAAGGTCCAGCACTCCATCCGGAGCTCACCGGGACCCTATTGGCGCATCACCTCCAGACCCATTGGTGAATCTTGAGAGCTACTAGCTGGCTCATGAGGATTTCCAAGTGTGACGCACACCACTGAAGGTCCAGCACTGTTTCCGTAGCCCATCAAGACCTTTCATCCAGACTTGAACTCAATTCACCACCTCTGATCCGCGCCAGCCACCCGAAGGGCCGGCCCCCCAAAAATGTGCTTCGGCACCCAAGGACTGCACTGAACTGGACCAGAACCGGACCCCAAGACTCAGCTGTGAACCCGAGAGCTCCTAGCCAACCCACGAAGACTTCCAAATGGGGACGGACGCACACTGCCAAAGGTCCAGCATTCCATCTGGAGCCCACGGGGACATTTTTTATCTCTTTCAACTGGCCAACAAGGACCTCCGAGTGGGGATGCACTGGTAAGCAAAATTCAGTAGCTACATATAAATATGTTGTTAAAATTAATACTTTTAAGAGTTTAGAACATGATTGTGGGTTTTGTCGCTGCATAGGCCTACATGGACAGGCAAAAACATTGTCTCCCTTTCACAGTTTGTCAGCCTGTGTTGTGTGCAAAAGTAGCTCATACTGAGAAAAAAAAAATCTATTTCAGCCTATAGAATAAGGAGCACAAGGAGCACACGCTGAAAATTCCTGCAGAAGCAGGTTTGTAAACACCTAAATCCAGACAGATTACTGTGTGGTTTTAACTAATCCAGGAATGTAAATAAACTACAGCAGCACGCCAGTGCTTCAGAGAATTTTCAAACAAAGAAATGTCTCTCTGAAGGGAAAGTGTGCAACACAAGTGAGCTGGTATAAATAATGTGTTCCAGTCGACCTAAAACCCATTGCTGGTGTACTGCATGACTGAGATAAACACAAAGGATTAACATCTTCATGCTATGGTCAATTGAGATGTTGCACACACCAAGGCTCATGCACAGTTATGCACAATTACATTTTTACATGGTTCTAAGGTTTAACTAGAAAACAATCAATGCTTGAAATAATTGTGAAACAGAAGACCTAGCATTACTTGAAGGGATGCTTATTGTTCACTTCTTTTCAGGTCTGTTTTATGATTAATTTGACTTATGTTGTAAATATATAGAATTAAAGCAATTTTGGTCGAAATTTGAAAATTACATTTTCCCTAATCTCATGATATTGTGGGATCTTGCAAGATATAATGCTCAGAGAATGTGTTGAGGATGACTCTCAGCCACTACAACACCAAAATAAACTTGGTGTATGTTAAAGATGCTGAGTAAAAGTATTTTTGTGTTTTCCGAGATTGATTAGTTGTGAAACTGCAGTGACTCCTGAAGTTAACCAGTTGTAGATGTTCATCCAATGCTTGCTTAAGAACGTGTCTGAGTGGTTAGGACAGTTGTCCTCCAATGTGAGAGTTGGAGGTTCGATTCCACCAGCAGTGCGTCCCATCAGTGTATGAATGTGATAAAGCACTGATTAATCTCTACAGATTCAGATTAGCTTTGTCGAGATGTAGTAGTATTAGGGTTAGGGTTAGGGGTTATGAATAGGGTTAGGGTTTCCCCCTAAAGGGGTACATTATGGTTAGGGTTAGGATTAGGGTTTCCCCCTAATAGAGTACTAGTAGAGTGTTGTATGAATGGGTAAATGAGGGCACAGATTGTAATGTAAAGCACTTTGTGCATTTTAATAAGAAAGAAAGGTGATATTTAAGTACAGTCCATGTAATATTTTCATCAAAAATTGTGCAATGATTCACTAGATATTTTGCTTAAAGTCAGACAGGGTTGACAACAACAATTAACAACAAATATATAGATCTTGTGTCAGTTAGTGCTTGTATTATGTGTTGGGGAAAACTCATCTGCTATCACACCAAATTTTAGTGCAACACACAATTGGCACAATTTGGCAGTTATAGCCATTTTTTGTGTTGAAAGGCTGTGGTAGCTCAATGGTCAATGCAGCAGTCTTGTAATCCTGAGGTAACGGGATCAAGCCCAGGTTGCGTCAAGAAGGGCATCCGGTGTAAAACAAATTGCCAAATCTTTCATGTGAGTTTACTCGCTGTAGTGACCCCAGCAGAAGTGAGCAGCCGAAAGAAACATTCTTACTATAATCATTTTTATGTCTGTTAAGTTTGTTCAATTGTGACAGTCATCTTGAACAGAGCTGAATCAGTTTGTAGTTGTAGATGTTCATTCAATAGTTACCTTCCCATGTCTAACAAGATTAATTCAGGTCCTCTGTACATATTCTTGTTTGTTGAAACATTTGGTCTTTTATCCAAAAGGCTTCTTCAGTCTGAGATCTTGTAACAAGCTCAGTTTTATAAATCTTGTTACAAGATATCAGCCTGAAGAAGTCTTTTGGATAAAAGACAAAATGTTTTAACAAACAAGAATCCATCCAGAGAACCTGACTTGACCTTGATAGATTTTTCTACCTGGATTATTGAACATACGTCAGGATGTTAACGTCCCATAGTTTCAGGCTTTCACAATGTGTTTTGCTAATACTACAGAATAATGCACACACAGACACTTGCAAAAAAATATCATTGTCACTTTGTCTTTACGAGGGGGGAATATTTTTTTTAAAGAATCAATACGTCTTAAATGTACAAGAAAACAACACAATAAATTAAAGTTGCATTGCAAATCAATAGATTGCAGATGACTAATGGCTGACTGCCCCTCACCTGTCAAAGGAGTGAAACTGCACTGGCAGTACAGCCTGGGCCTTGGCTACAGAGTCTGAGAAGGACACTGGCTCCAGTCCAGCCTCAACTCCCTCCAACGGTGCCGCTACCAGACTTTTCAAAATCTCCTTGACATTGATGCCCTTGTTAGACTGATTAATGCTGATGATGGAGGAGGGTGGTTTGAGCACTACCACATCATGACACTCAGACAGGCTCTCCTGGGACTCTTTTACTTCTGAGGACAGCGTGGAAATGAGCTCGCCCATGATGCCAGGTTGTCCCACTCTGTGATTCAGATCAGAACCATTAAGGATCTTGGCTACTTGCTCATCTCCAATCCCAGAGTCTGTGAGGGGCAAACCACTTTCTAAATGAAAGTTTTCTGATGACATGTTTGGGAATGTTGGTGGTGTTTCTGCAGAACAAATACAAAAAAGGACATGTCAGGCATATACAAGCATAGATGTTGTTAAATAAGCACCTGCCTTTTGTTAGACACATTTATCCTGTGTATTTGGTGCTACAGTTAACTCATACAGGTGATTGTACAAACAAACAATAATTTAATCATTTTCTTGAAAAAATGAGAAAAGGGAATTCAGAAGCATGTCTTCAAACAATACCAAACAAACTTGTGTGGGGGCTGGCTTTACATTCCAAGCCAAAGAGTAAATATAGTATGGGTAGAGAAAGCCACATGCCAAGGCATCTTCTCAGATCTCTCTCCAGAAGCTCTGATTCTCCAGTGAGATTATGTTAGCGCCCCCTCCTCATCCTACCCCCGTGTTAATAAAACATGAATCCTTTTCTTCTGCATTTTTTCTGACTACAGCTGTATTGATTCAATTGCTTTGGCAGAGACATAGTTAAATAAGTTTAAGATGTGCTGCTCTCATATTCTTGTATATTAACATCCGTACACATACCAGTAGTCTAACTGGGAAACTAAGCAGCAGTTAATGTGCTCACTGACAAACAAAGGTTTAAAACTAGCTCTGACACAAAAAGGCTTACTTTCCCATTTAGAGAGCTGCAGGAGTGCCTTTCCAATGAGATACTAGTTCATCCTGACCCATGCTTACAAAGATGCAAGGGCAGTCATATTAATATTCATCACATGCCCCCAAACGCGGTCAGCAGGGCCTGATTTAGCCTGAGAGTCGTATGGCTTCCTGGTCCATCAGACAATCGTCTGCCACATGCCGTCTGGAAAATTCCCCTATTTTCTGGTGAAATTTATGAAGGCGGCAGTGTGCCTTTCTCCTCCCAGCAACCTCTATGATCCCATTCTCCTCTGGTGGATTGCATGCCTAATGGGCACTGACAGATGGGGCTGAAAATAGCAAGCTTGGCTCCACTGCCCCAAAAACCCACAGCGTTCTCATCTCTCAACTTCTCACTGCTCATCTTCTTCCTTTATTCTTTGAGTGTTCTCAGCTCTTTAAATTACACTTACATATTCCTTTTGGCCTCTCTCCTCTTCCCTCCATTTTCTTTTATTCACTCCAGCTTTTATCTGAATGCAAGTTCATAAAGTAAGCTCACTTGTACATTTCACAGAAGCAATTGGCACTGCACCATAAATTGCATTAAACCTTTGTAGGCAGCCAGTGATTTTCTTTCATGTACCTTAATGCATGAATTATAACTTGAAGCACTTTCTACATTTTATTTTGGAGTCAATGTTGATGCCGATTCAGTTTCATAACTGTCGTTATATGTTTCCATTATAAAGTTATTAAACAGCATGAGATAAATTTTCATTGTTATGCTGATGACACTCGGTTATATTTATCCATGAAATTTAATTAATCCAATCATTTACTTAGAATCCAAGCATGTCTTGAAAACATAAAAACCGGTATGACACCTAATTTTCTGTTTTTAAACTCAGACATAATAGAAGTTGTGGTTTTTGGATCTGAGCATCTTAGGAATAAACTTTGCAACCTTTCATTTCCTCTGGATGGCATTAATTTGGCCTCCAGTTCTAATGTACAAAGCTTAGTGTTATTTTTGATCAGGATATGTCTTTTAACCCCCACATTTAAAAAGTTACCAGGACTGCGTTCCTCCATCTGTGTAATATCAAACACAATTAGAAACATCTTGTCCAAAAATGATGCAGAAAAAAAACAAAAATGTAAGCATTTATCACATCTAGACTGGGCTATTGCAATGGTTTGTTATCTGGGTGTCCAAAAACTTATTTAAAAAGACTTCAGTTGATTCAAAATGCTGCTGCCAGAGTTTTAATGAGAGTTGGTAGGAGAGGTTATATCTCTCCAGTTCTAGCTTCTCTCCATTGGCTCCCTGTCAAATCCAAAATGGAATTCAAAATCTCACTTCTAATCTACAAAGCGCTTAACGAAGCTCAACGAAGCTCTCAACAACCTGGCTCCATCTTATATTACAGATCTTATTGCTCCATATTTTCCTAACATAGCACTTCACTCTCAGACTGCAGGTTTACTTGTGGTTCCTAGAGTTCCCCAAAGTAGAATGGGAGGCAGATCTTTCAGATATCAGGCTCCTCTCTTGTGGAACCAACTTCCAGTTTCTGTCTGTGAGGCTGACACATTGTTCATTAGTAAATATAGGCTTAAATATTTCCTTTTTGATAAATCCTAAATTTAGGGTCATCTTGGGTTTCCTGAGCTATCCCTAGGCATAGACTGCTGGAGGACAAACTGACCACATTTCCACACTACTGCTCTCTTTACTTGCTCTACTCTACCTGTTTGTATTTGTGTGTCTTTCCTCCAATTGAAAGTACACCTGCATCTGCCATTCTGTGTTTGTTTCTCTTTCCTGTTCCTCTCAAAACCAGCAGGATGAAGCAGATGGCTGCATGTCTTCCTGTTAAAAGGGAGTTTTTCCTTTCTACAGTTGCCTTTATGCTTGCTCAGGATGGGAGTCTGTGACCAGTAATGAGTCTGCCGGCTTCCTTAAATAGAGAACATTGCTAATTTGGTTTTTATAATGTATGTGAACGTTTCTGTACAGTTCCCTGAGACAACTTCTGTTGTGACTTGGTGCTATATAAATAAACTGAATTGAATTGAATCTCCAGCATCAGTCTATTTGCTTCCACAATTAATTCTGTGTGGTGCAATTAGCAGAGCTCATGAATAAATCATATGTGAGCCACAGGAGCGCAGGCTGGATATCCCTGTTGCTTTACCGAATGAGCTTTCAGCTCCTTCAAGCCAGCAACAAAATCACAGAAGAAACCTTTTACTTCTTTGTTTATCAGGCACAATGGCATCAAATGGAAATTAGGTTGAGGGAAAAAACGACTATAACAAAAGGGAAAATACAGCACCTTTTCTGGTAAGTGAGTTGATCTCTTGGCACATGCTGTGGCCTGATTGGCTGCTTATCTTGGCAGTTTCACACTGAGGCTCAAGGATGTCACGGTATTTTGAGACCATGAGGACAGAGATGAAGTAAACTACAGCTAGAGCCAAGAACTGGGCTTGTTTGCTGTCATCCTGTGAAGAGCAATCACAAAACAATTTTCTATTCTAAAGACATTCATTTCTTATTACCTATTGCCTAAATTGCAGTCTTGCAGCATGTTTATTGCATTTACAATATAAATATGCAATGCTAATTATAAAATATGTCACATTTAAAAAGAATGATTAAAACAAATAAAAACCTCTTGGCTTTGAAGTACCGGTACATAGTTTCAAAATCATAGGGATGTGTTTGTTGCCCAAACAAGACTTTCAGGACATTATTAGATAATCTCATTCACACCAATTTGAGGTTATAATCAAACAAAATCATGCTAGCTTATTAGTCTAAAGAACTGAATCAAAAGAAAAACATGCAAGAAGGTAATTTCATTTATAAATAGAAAATAGTAAATGATTGGCTCAAAATGTTATTTCATTTGTTAACTGTAGGGTTTAGAATTGGACACTTGTGTGTCACAAATACCGTTTTCATTTTTATTGCCTGCTTTGGTCATAAAATACATGCTTTATGAATGTGGCTTACCACATCACGAAACACTACAGCTCGAAGCCGATTGATGTCCACATCCTGCAGAAGGTGATCGGAGTCCTTGATGGGAGACAGGTTGGTAGGGACGGTTTCCATGATGGTCTAAAAAAGACATTTAACACAATCAGACATGCTGAAATTTTCAGCTGAAGCTTAATTTAAATCTGAAATTTCTTTACATTTTGAAAAAAAAAACCCAAAAGATAAGAAAATGTTGAAATTAAGAAGTCAAAAACAATTGAAATCATTAAATGTAAAGAAAATAAATCAGAAAACTAACTACAAGATACCAGTCAAACCAAAATATGAACATTGGGCAAAGGTCAACATGTTTTAATTAACTAGCATTCCTTGACTTTAATTTATCACTTATCATGTCAACATATCATGTCAAGATCTTGCACAGTCAGTTAGCACTCAGTGTGTGTTTGGGAAGAAGCTCGACTTTTACTTAAACACATTTTATCTCAATTTCTGTAAAATTGACCAAGTTATAGTCACTTTTTGTGTTTGCTAAACTTAATACACACGCACGCTGAGATAATCACATGATCGCCTGCCTTTCATGGTGGTGGTGATAATGAAGGGCTCAGACACCAGAGATTGAGATATGAATATGACCTTTAACCCTACCTTGTTCAAAGTCACAGTATTTTGTAGTATTTCCTGAGTTCTGTTGCTGTGTCTCTGCCTGCACTCCAGACAGCTCCTTACAGCTACACAACACACTGTACACAAAAACACACACACAGAGCACACAAATAGTCTCTAATTTCTGAATCTAATGGAAATTAAATGTTGATAACACGCATGACCTCTTTAAGCCTAATCAGTTCTATCTGATGACTATTTGTTCCAGGCCAACGGGAAGGAGAGAAGCAGGAAAATCATCAGCCAGACCAATTTCACACTGAAGATGTGATGAGAAACTCTGCTTGCAACAAGGACACTGAAGTCTGAAGGCTATTTCCCATCCCCGAGACACTAACTTGGAGCGAACAGTCAAACAAACACGAGCTTATAAATGCACAAACCCACAGACACAAACAGCTCTGGACAAAAAACAAACTGACAAGAAAAATAAAATGAGAGAAACTGCATTTCCTGCAAAAATGCAGTATGAATGCTTATTGCTGAAGAACTTGCTGAAAAACTGCTGAAATTAGATAAAAGCATGCTGAAATTTAGCTGAAATGGAAGAACAAGCCTAAATTAGCAGAAGAAATCAGAACGAACACACATTTGCTGAAATATATTTACTGGTAAATAAGTAGAAATGAGCCATAAAAATTAAGAAATTAACTAAAAAGATGAAATTAGCAAAAATAACAAAAAATCTGAAAAGTAGCTTAAAAGGCAGAAAAAAGCAGAAGCTTAAACTACCAGAAGGAAGAGCTAAATGCAGCTAAAAAGTAACTGAAATAGCTAAAAAAAAAAAAAAAAAAAAAAAAAGCTGAATGGAGCATAACAAGCTGAACTTAGCAGAATGTTTTTGAAGAAGAACAAAAATGTTGTAGTTAGCACAAAAAAAAAAAAAAACTGAAAGGAGCACAAAACAGCTGAAAAAATATGAGCTGAACAAATGTTTAAATTTGCACAAGGAAGCTGAAAGAAGATGAACTAGAACAAAATGTGAAAGGACAAGTAAAAGTTTATAAACGGAGCTAAAAATATGAAGAATGTAAAATTAGCTCAATTAATTTTCTATGAGAAAAAACATGCAGGAAAGGCTAAATATTTCAAAAAGCTAAAGTTGCACCAATACCAAAAGTCATAGCAGGATTGTCCTGGACATTTTTATATATGATTTGTAGAAATAGCTTGAAAACTGTGGGACGAGAATTGCACTGAAAAATGTACGGAAGAAAATAAATCACAGTAGTGTAAATTAGTTAACACTATTTTTAAAAAAAATCCATGATATTTAACATAATTTCATAAAACAGCTCAGTTTAAACAAAATCATTCTGACTTGGTCCAAATAAAATTTGGATGGAATTATGGTGAGTGAAAAACAGAAAATGGGCAATTAAAAAAGCTCAGAGTCTAAGAAAGATCATTTAAAAAGAAAAACTCAACAAAAGCCTATACCATTTGCAAAAACAACCTGATAGCCATGCAAACCAGCCTCATACCAATTGTGAATTCAAAAGTAAAAACGGCAGCGTTGTAAAATTACACAATGACCAGAGGATTCTTAAATCATTTAGCTCTGCTGATCAAACAGAGGATTTTCAGGGCTTAGAGGAATTATTAGATTGTGCGCGATTAATACTATTGAGGCGTTCACCAGCTCATTCAGTCTCCAATGTACAAACATCAAATAATTACACTGTAATTCTTCACTACCCCTCTGGACTAACACTCACATGCAAACAGTCATACGATCAGATCTTACCCAGTCTGAGGCACTGGCGCATCAGGCCACCGGAGGACATGTTCTTCTCTGCCTCAATCTCACTGAAGTTGAGGGAACTCGAAAAGACTAAAACATCGACCATAACCATGAGACGGGACAGGAAAGTGATGGCTGTTTCTGAGGACATGCCCTGTGTTGCCTCGATGTTCTCCAACTCCGACTTGGGCAAATAACACAAAATAAAAGTATAGATTAAAAAATATGTTCCATCCAAAGCATTCATTGCTGTTATTGGGTCATGTTTTAACAAATAAGGGTAAAAAAAAATTTAAACCGAGAAATTGCAGCACATAAGGAAAAAGCTAGGACTGCTCATTATTGTTGTCGTGGGTAAAGTCTCTGATACAGAATTAGTATTAAAGACTGGTAAACTAAAATTGAAAGATAACTTTGAGCATCATAAATACTGAGCTTGATATTCTAGTTATGCACAGAAAAAAAAGAATAAATCCAAGAAATTCAGGAATAAAAATAAAAAAAAATCAAGAATACTATTTACAATAGTCCAAGTCTAAAAAATGTTTAAAGGAAAGCTGAATGGTACACAGAGTTAATTAGAGGCCTAAAAACGGTTCTACATTAATATCCCCAGAATTAACTAAAGCAAAGTGAAGATGAGCACTCAGAGGTAACACCAACCATTAAACAAATCTATTCCACTAACACGTTCTTTTTTTAAACAAATCATGCAGTTCAAACAAACAACCATTAGATGGCAATATTTCATTTTACGAAAGTCAGAAAAATGCACTTACAGAAGGAGAGGTGGCTGCTGAAAGAAGGGGCAATATCCCTCCACAGGCTATAATGATGTTGTCCACCATTTGGGAGATGAGATGGATGGTGTTGTGCACAAAAATGATGTTCTCATTACTGTTAACAAAGTCCATGACAGATTTGGTGCAGTGGCTACAGGGAAGAGGGAAAAAAATATGAGAACAACTGTTATTTCCACATAAGCTAATCCTACCTATTTTTATTCAAATAATCACAGAGCAAACATTAAGCATAATTTCTAGAGTTGCTACCATTATTATGTTTAGCTCTCATCTTTCAAGTTCACATAGATCACTTCACACACACCTTCTCCAGGTGTGGACGTCACTCTCCAGTGCAAACAGCAGGTCGGTGAGCAGCCTCTGATGCATGGCTGACCATTTAAATTCTGGGATGCGGAACATTGTAGTGCGTGGACCAGGGCTGAACTGGCGTCGCTGTTCCTCTGTCATGGGTCCTGCTCTGAAGCCAAGGTCCACACATATATCCTTTTCCGTCTGAGAAACTAGACGTCCATGCACGCTCTGATGGAAGACCAATTTATCACTCAAACAAATGCAGTTTAACAGGCAGAAACAGTTACTGTCCACTGCAAAGTACAGAGACAATTGACTAATTCTAGTGTACTGACCATCACTCGTAATCAGATTGATTCCTGCTGCCATAATATTTATCATGCATGAAAAATGTACATTTAAAAAACAGCTTTTGTATAACTTATTTCTGCCTGTTGGTACAGGGAAAAATAATTTATGCTCAATGTAACCTCTAAAATGAGATGAATGAGTCAGCAAGGTGCTGCAAAAAGCCTGTTTAAAAAACAGCAGAGATGAATACAGCCTGGGCAATTATGCAACTGCAGAGAGAAGGTTATAAATAAATACTGCTTCCTGCTGCCCTGCCATTGGTGACCCAGGTCAGGCAAAGAACCTGACCTCTGAAAAGGAGCACAGATAATGGGAGTAATAAACAAATCCCAGACAGTTGCTTGAGAATAACATTCTCTGTCTCCCTAATGTTGGCTTAGCCAACTATTCCTGCAACCCAGTTTCCTGACTCTCTGAGGGGTGATATCTGATGTGCACCAAACCTTCCTGTCCTCATTACATTCACAATATGCAAATAAATGATCTCTATGGGTCTGCTAATATAAAACCAGGGAGAGGCCACAGCAGTTTGATAAGAACCTTAGTTTTCTTGCTCAACCTCTCTGTGTGCTACTTGTTTTTCTACTTTCATAATTATCTACACTGTTTCTTGCGTCAGAATCTTACGATAGTTTGTATTGCGACAGAACTAGTAACCTTCTCCAAATTATTTGATAGATTTTTAAATAGTAACAGGTCTTTTGTGCATCAGATGTTTAAAGCAATTGAATGACTAAACTATATAGCAAATGGACTGTACAGCACCTTTCTGTCTTGCCAAGATAATCAAAGTTCTTTGCACTACAATATGTGCCCTCATTCACCCATTTATTCAGCACTCTACTATATCTGTACAAAGAATAATCAGAGCTTTATCACATTCATACACCTATGGAACACACACCGGAGGCAATGAGGTGTTCAGTGTCTTGCCTAGGGACACTTCGGCATGTGACTGCTGGTGGAATCAAACCCCCAACTCTTGCATTGGAGGACGACTGCTCTAAAATGCAGCCACAGCCGCCCCACATAGTACTTTATTTTAAGACTAACCTGTGTAGTAGCAGTAGTCTGAATCTTTTTCATTTCCTTCTTTTTGCCATCATCTGATCTTGCAGTGTCAGGAGTATGGCTTGAATCTATGTTCTTATCAGACAAGGAAACTAATCCAGATGAACCTTCAGTGGCTTGTGAGATTTTGGAGGAGTTCTCATTTTCAGTTCCTGTGACAGAGCTGATACCTTCAAGAACCGTCTTAAGGTCAAACTCATCCTTTTCTAGGATGCTGGGCAAGGAGCTTCCTGTCATGTGAGCCAGAAGGCCAAACTCGTCCCTTGGGTTAGTGTGAACAGGCAGCTCTGCACTGGGCAGGACCAGAGGCACAGCTGGACTTAGATTAGGCAGCAGCTTGTCCTCTACACCGCCTGTCACTTTGCCAAACAGGAAGTCATCGCTGTGAGGAATGCCGTCCTTGTCATCATCCAGAGTGATAAGAGGGGCTGTACTATGGCCATCCATTCTGTCCTTTGGTAACAGCATACTGCTGACATTACCATCAAGCTTTCCCACAACAGCACAGTAAACGTTATCCAACAGAGAATCCACCTCAACTAGTGGTCCATTCTCAGACACTCCCAAAGTTTCAGAGGACATGTCAATATCATCCAGCTTAACTTCTGTAGCTTCCACCTTTTCAGCCTTGATGTCCACCAGCAGGTCATGAACTTCAACCCTGACACCATCTACAGCACCGTCTTCAGGTCCCTTCCTTTCAGTCAGCAGGTTGCGCGAGTCTGCACTCTCGTATTCTGTCTCACTTTCAGGTGTTTGGGAGTTATCGTCCATTTCTCCAATCTCCATCACACCTTTAATACCAGAGGCCTGAGCAGATAAGCCACAGATAGTGCTGACCAAACCCTTCTTTCCTTTCTTGATATTTTCTTCTTCCTGACGTTGGTACTCTTCATACATCTTAGCTAGATATTCTTTGTGTGCCTCATATGTCACCTGTGAAAAAAAAACGTCAGTGATGAAAACAAGCATGCATTTACAAAACAATGCAACGAAGTTCAGAAAATTCTTGACAAAATAGTAAACAGCAGAGGTCAGTGTTTCTCTCTTTTGTACAGTACTTACCTTAGAGTGGGCTATGGAAAGAGTGTCCACCCACACACGCCATCCTCCCCATTCGTACTTGATGGCATGGTAGAGCAGAATACGAAATATGTTGTACACCATCTCAGAGATTTTCTGCTCTTCTGTGTTTTTAGGGTTGATGTAGCCCAGAGAAAACATCCAGTCCTGCCAAACAGAACACTGCAGCAGACATCTGAAACACACAAGGCATTAAAAGTCATCATCAGAAGAGTTTGATAAATAATACATTTTAATGAAGAAGAAGATGAAGATGATGATGATCTCTTTTATCGTGTCTTGAGGATCTTAAAGCTTGGATGGCCCTAAACTTCCTGCATTTTAATGAAAAAAAAAAAGACTGAGGTACTTGTTTTTGGACCTAGTGGAGCATGCCCAAGCCCTCCAGTTGACCCCTGGCAATGTACATTAGAAGACAAGGAAGAAGAAAAAGAAGATGATTTTGATTTTAAAAAATACCTTTATTTACACAATAATTTAACATAATGTTAAAAGCACGATCAAGGACAAGCTGAAAATAAAGTATTTACATTAGGAGCTTGTTGTATTGCAGTTCTCCCTGATCAGACATGGTGCATTAAACCTTCTTAAGTCCCCAGAAAAAGAAGAAGACAAGGATGAAGAAAAAGATTAAGACAAGGAAGAAGATGAGGAGGAGGAGGGATGAGGAGGAGGAGGACGCAAAAGAAGAAGAAGAGGAGGAAGAAGAAGGTAAAATATTGTATTTGGTTTCTCTGTCTAAAACCTAATTTTGGCTTGTCGTTTCTTTAACTTTCACTCATAATATTCTTCTGTCAGAATAAAAAAAGTGATGAGCTAACATAGTTTGATTAAAAGTAAATTGTATGCACAATTATTAGACACATATTATTCTTTGGGTTTATAGTTTTCTTTAACACAATAAACTTTAAATGTACCTGAATTTGTTGAATATAACTGACAAGTTCAGAGCTTTGTGTGCAAATTCAATTTAGTTTCATCCTTCTCAGCTGAATAAAGTGTGCCCTGATGTTAGATTGCTAATAATTTCACAGAAGCAAGCAACAAAATGTCATTTTCATCACAACAATCTCTGAGACTCAGAGCCACACATCTGCATCTGCCAACGTTGCTTGTTTGCAGAGCACATCAAGAAGCAGCTGAAGTTTACCAAAGTGCTTCCCAGTTGAGGCCATACAGTACAAATGCTGCTCAGCGTTATGTGTCGTCTTTGCTTTAGTGAAACTCATGGTCTGGGAGTGAGGATTAAAGGTCCAGATAGAAGGGGTCCAGGTCAATATTAGGTTAACTCTGAACTATTTGCTGAGAAATCAAACAATGATTACTTGGATTTATGTAACAAAGGACCGTCATGTATAACGTCTTCTGTCAAAAAGTCTCGTAGCTTAACAAAATCAGCTTCCAGGAACTTGCAGTAACAGGTGGATTTTCAATTAATCCAAAATTTAAGAGTTTAAGTAGCACATTATTTATTTTATTTTTTATATCTGACCATTATCAGAACTAGGGATGCACGATATTATCGGCATGGTATTGGAATCTGACGATATTAGCGTTAAATTTCGATATCGGACATCGGCGATGTCACGATGACGTCACGTGCGCCTACCCAATCTCACGGCGGAGAGGAAAATTCAAAATATCAGCGGTGTGGACGTTTTATTTTTCGTTGGTGAGGATGTCGAATTCCTAAGATTTATGGACTACATTGAGCCTTGCTATATCATCTGCAGTTGGAGATATTTTTTCCACGTAACGTTACCCGAGTTACAAGCCGTCATTTCCAATGTCATTGAGAAGCTAATAGCCAATAGCACGACTTGTTGGGTGAGTTTTACCACAGACATTTGGACGTCATGTTAGCCCCGTTAGCATGATTAGTCTTACGGCACAATGAATAGACAAAAACTTTGAACTTAAAAAGTCTGTCCTTCATGCACAGGAGTGCAGAGGATCCCACACTGCAGCTAGGAACCTGGAACAAGCCTCCACAAGTGAGACAGCATCGCAAGTGACTAATGCTAATAAATAACATTTAACACTTTTCATTTAATACAAGTTAAAGCGCTGTGCATATCATATGTCTGTTACTGAATATATGTCACCAGCTCTTACAGCTGTTGCTCAATTTGTGTAGTAAATAAGCCTAAATAAGAGGGATATGTTCTGACAAAGGAACGTGTATAAAATTTTGGTATCGGCATCGGTTATCGGCCAAATAAGTTTTAACATATGGGCATATTGGATATCGGCCAAAAATCCAATATTGTGCATCCCTAATCAGAACCCATTAATGTCCATCTCTAAATGTTTTTTCTTTTTTATCTTAGTTACTGGCACATCCTCAAGTAAAATGACTAACTCTCATTTGCCAACACAACTTTTAAAATATGTATTTAAATATTTATTTTTCAATCTTAAATCAGAATCCCTCCTCTTGTGAAATTTATTCAATGGTGTTTGATATAATTGTCTTTACCTTGCTCTTGCAGCATATGAGATTAGTTTGTTTTTCTGAAATTTTACAGGACTGTAGCTTCAATAAATATTTAATCAAGGGTTTCAATATTAGTTTTCAATTCAATTCAATTTGGTTTATTTATATAGCACCATATCACAATAGAAGTTGTTGACTGTACAAAAACGTTCGTATAAATTAAAGAAAATCATATAGTAAAACTTATCTAAGGAAGTGAGCGGATTGTATTGAATCTTCACTTTGTCAGTCTCCCATCAGCTCATAATTATGTATTTTTCCCCCATTCATGTTTTAGATTATTTTATTTTATTATTTTCAGTTAAGCAGTGATTGCCAGGTGTTCACACATTAACAGTTTATCTCTTAAAGGAGTGAATAATCTGCCTGAAAGAGGTTAAAAAAAAAAAGGTTACTTTAAAGTGTCAATTTTTTGCTGGCCTATTTTAGCTGAAGTACTAAAATGTACAAATACACATTAAATGAATATATTCAACACTACCACATTTTCACATTATTCACAAGACCAAAAACAATTTATGTAATATATTTTTACAAGTATTTGAGTGAGAAATGAAAATGTGAATAATATATTAAACAATTATTCAGGGAATAACTTATTATTCATTAAATAATTGTGTATTCAGTTTATAAAATTAAGTATTAGAATGAAATGGAAGTATAAAGTGAGTTTTTTTCATATTTAATTCAATTTTATGCCATTTCTAAGCACACTTCCACAATAAAGTTAAGTTGTGTGTGTTTATTTGGGTCAATGTTTTTCAAGAGCTATGATTATTTATTTTCTCTGTGTGCTTGTATATCAGACAGAAATGGATGAGCATGAGAAAGAAAGAAATAAATAAAAAAAAGGAAAGAGCAACTGTTAAAAGCAGTTGCACAACCATCTGCTGCAGAAAATATGCATATCTAAAGTTTATTTAGTATCAACATTAGCCTACTAAATGTAGCAAAGCAGAGAGAAAACATGCATTTTTCCCTTTAATTCTATTATTTATTAATAATTAATAGCGTGGGTGAAAAAAGTTTCAGTAAAATAAAAAGAACGAAAAGTGTGTTCATCTTGCTCACCGTCTGTTCTCTCGGCTGTTGCTAAAAAGTTTGATCATATCTGAAAGGAATAGCCGCCGAACCTCCATCATCTCTGTACTGGGAGCAGAGTTCTTCAGTAAAGTTGCTACCACCTTCAGAATCACTGATAAGACGTGCATTCAAACAAAAATAATGCATATTTAGTCAATTTAACAAACAATTAAAAGGGTAAGTCGACATGAAATCAGTCTTACTGGGGTTTTGAATCTTGACAGTGGAGTCGGGATCAGGATGAGGTTTGTGAACTACTTGCGTGCACACCTGCTCTGTCAGAATCTGGAGAAAAAAGCGCAAGACGTCTTTAGTTACCAACACATCAAGACCAATATGACAATGATGCTAGAACAACGGAGAAGGAAACATTTTGCTACCTCATACAGGGCGTTATATGTTGTAACAGACACAGCGCTGGCGTGCAACATAAGCCTCTCACCCAGAAGAGTAAAAAGGCTGTGTGTGTGCATTATCTCCACCTTCCTTCTGTGGATACACAGACACACAGACATAATGGTACAGTGGTTTGTTTGGAACTTCCTAAGCCCCAGAAATCAGAGAGTACCATCAGCTTGCATCCTTATTGAAACCCACAGGGAGCCAGGCTCAGGAGACAAGTGTCAGGAAGTGCCTGCTGTCATAAATTGGGTGAATTTTGCAGAAGGTGTGTGGATAAGGAAGTTAGCCTGTCAGCAGGAGCGGCTCCAAAGTACCGTGGCATACCACAGGTGAATAAGTTTGACTGTGACAAACTGCATCTGCACACAGCACAAGGAATGCTGTCACAATGTTCACCCAAAGTTGCTTTATTCTGCTGCCACGGCTTGAAAAAGTCAGGTCATTCCTAACAAAGCAACATAATTTGTACTTGGTTTATCTGGCAAAGTGGAAGCTTCAGAAAAGAGCAGCATTTCTCTCAATGGTATAAGTCCACAAATTAGAGTGAATAGGGCAGATTTGTGATGCATAGTAAGCTGAGCAGAGCAACAAGGCTCGGATTAATCAAATAGAAGATGAGCCTTGTTGGAAATGCTTTCATGAGTAAATACAAGGTCATTCTCTTTTTGACTGATTTTATTTTGAATTAACAGTTTAGAAAATGTGAAAATGAAAGTACCCTGAGAAGTGGATGTTGACCAATGAGTGAGACAACATTTAAGGACTCTGCTTGGAGAGAGAAGGCATTCTTACAGTCAAAGGCATGCTAAAAATCTAAATTAACCTAAACCATTGTATTTAGGCTTTTTTATAATCCTACTTGGCCAGAGTTTCCATGATGTCACTGCCAAAATAATTTATGCATTTCATTCTCTCCCTTCACACTCCTTTATTGGGAACTGCCTAGAAAGACAGCCACCTATTATCATCCACCTGAAAAGGGTTTTACTCTTCTATCAACTTTAATGTGGCCCAGACCTCAATGTGTACCCCCACAAATATTAAATCAAAATGACTGGCTCGGCACCGTGATGTGTGCTCTTACTTTCATTGGCATTTTGAGTTACCATGGCAACGTAATTTGTGAACAAATATGCCATTTTCCCCCATTCAAAATACCTGTCGAAACTGTTCACACCCTCTAACTGCTACTGTGAGGTCACATGACCTAGTGTGGAGAGGTACCTGAAGAAAATTCAGTAGGTCATCAAACAAAGTTTTCCAACCACCACATCACACCATCACAGACATTACACCTCCAGATGCAGGAGGAGAGCTACTTGCATCATGAAGGACCCCACTCACCCAGCACACACTTTTTGACCTGCTCCCCTCAGGCAGGATGTTGAGGAGCATTAAGTGTAGAACCACTAGACTGAGGAACAGCTTCTACCCTGAGGCTGTTAGACTCATGAATATCTAACCAGAATAATCACTGTGAAGAATCACATCATGTTGCTGCTGATCTGTTTCATGTTGCTGTGTTCATTCATACTCATCTGCTCACACAGACTCATGTTCGTGCTGCTGTCCGGCTTATTGTTTTTTGTATTACTAGTGCTTAGCATATTTTTTTTTGTTTAGCATTTTTCTTAGTTCATATCTTAGATCTTATTACTGTTTTTCTTTTACATTTTATACTTATGTTGGATGTAACTGGGACCCTGTGCACACAATTTCATTCCACCACATGTACATGTGGTGGGTATGACAAATAAAGAAACCCTGACTCAGACTTTGATCTTTTATGATTCACATACAACGTATACATGTCAGTCAACTTTGGTTGCAAATCAAAGATCCAAGATGGCCACCTGAGCTTAACAGGAAAAATACTATAAATCACTCAGATATTAGGCTGAAATTTGGTGTGGTGGCAGCTGAGAGCAATGCACATTAAATACTGAACTAAAATGTAAAAATTCCAGATGACCACCATTTAAATTGGTTTAAATAAGTAATTTTACACATGCTGAGCTGAAATTTGGTGAGGTGATAGTTGAGAACGTTCCCCATCACATACTGAATCCAAAGCAAAAATCCAAGATGTTTACCATAGCTTAAAAGAAAAAAAATGACTATACCTCATTGATTTGTTGCCATGTTGAGCTTAAATTTGGTATGATGGTAGCTGAGAACGAACCCCAACACACAATACTGTCAAATAAAAAAAAATGAATTGGCAGCAATGTGGCAGTCCCCGTCGAAGTTTCTCCAGGAACTTTGTAGTTTCTTATTATTCTCATTTTCTCCTAAATCAGTTGCTATACAAGAATCTTTTTCCAGAATGACTTCTTAATCCGGTTTCCTCCCACAGACCAAAAACATGCATGTTAGGCTGATTGGTAACTGTAAATTGTCCCTAGGTGTGAGTGAGAGAGTGAATGGTTGTTTGTCTCGTTTGTCTCTATGTGGCCCTGTGATGGACTTGCGACCTGTCCAGGGTGTACCTCGCCCCTCGCACAGTGATTGCTGGACATGGGCACCAGCGACCCACGTGACCCAAAATGGAATAAATGGGTAAAGATAATGGATGGATGGATGGATGGACTTCTTAATTCAACACACTCACTATTTATTTCACTATTCAAATAAATATACATTACAAATTAATAAAACTTTAAGGAAGCACAACAAACCAGACTGCACTTTAGCATCTAATAAAAAAAAGCCTGTAAACATTGTTTACAGGCTTTTCATTTGTACTTAAGGTGGTGTGCTTATGTCTACCCCCAATTCTTTATTCAGTATTAACATGGCCTGTTGCTCCTGCTGTGAGGAAAGTGCAACTCGTTATCCTCCTCATGCACTCTTACATCCTGCATTTACCACCATGAGCTGTCTGGCCACAGGCACCCCCCCTCATCTCTCATGTACAGTATAGACATGATTTGCTGACATCCTTGTGGTTGGGATTTCATTTATGTTACTTTATGAGACAGTGACTTTGACCTCTTCCACTCTGCTTCTATGTGAATTAATGAGTTTAAGACATAAAGTCATAACATGACATATTCTACAAAGTGAAACACTTCAATTTGCTAAATTGGCACCTTGTCAAGATTTTCTGCTAGCTTCTTTGTTGAAGGAGATCGTTTTCTCTCTGTCTGTGAATCTCACTCTATGATACATTTTCTATCGTGCTAGTATTTGTGGTATTGATAAGGCATAGACAACAAACACGACTGCAGACTACAGGTATAAAAATGTATTAAAGTGATATTTTCTCAGATGTGAGAATTGGTTAATTTTTAATTAAAACTAATAAAATAGTTAATTAAAGTCTACGTTGCTATTGGTTGCTTACTTGTGTCCCAGGTGTTTCAAGAAGTAACCAAGAATTTTGAGAGACTGCACACAGATGTTTTCACTCTTAGAGGCCAAGAGCTTGTAGACTACCCTGAAAAAACACGAGTAGAAATTAGCAACAGCAAATAGGCTTAAGGAGAAAAAACAAAACTATGGTTTTATTGACTGACATGCCTTCACTGGATGGTTGTCTTTTAGAATAAGCTTCCTATATAAGTCCAAAATAAATGCTTTTTCAACAACGCATCCTATCAAAAAAAAAAAAATTCTGTCTTTTTTTTCCAGGGCATATGCATTATTTATACATCACACAGTCCTGTATCACAAGTAAACTGTAGCTTAGATTTGTTTTGGTAAATCACTCTTTCATTTTGTAACGAAGCAAAATGAGAGGCTTACCGAATTCCATTTTTCTGGTCAAAAGCAGGGATCATGGAAGCTGGGTGCTCAGACATCAGAGCCACCACCAACTGTAACACATCATGCAGATTTTCATCCTGAGGACAGACAGACGGAGAAGGGAGCAGCTGAAGGGAAAGAATACAAATAGTGTAGTTTGTGTGAATGACAACATTTCTGTTTCCTTCAACGGTTATTATGCACTCTCCAAATCTTTCAGTTCATGTAACAGTTGCAGCAGCAATCCGAAGAGGAAAGATGCCCAGAATTTATCAAACTCCTTTTTGTGGGATCACCAGCTGCTCTCAGACCAGCTGGCACGTACAACCCGCCCAGCTTTTTCTGGGTCAACAATGAGATCCCTGCCCAGTTCACAGAGGTAAACTTCTATTTTAAGACACTGCAAGAACATATAGATAACCAATGATGCTCAACTGGCTTCTGAAGTGAACAGCCAAGGTCTTCACTTTGAACTCCTTCTAGATCCTGAGCACACAAACCTTTTTTTCAAATTTCTTTCAAATTTTAGTAGGAAAGTTCTATTTCTCACACAGTAACTGCTGGACATGGGCACCAGTGACGCCCGCAACCTGAAAAAGAAGACGTCGGTAAAGATAATTGATGGATGGATGGATGGATGGATGGATGGATGGATGGATGGATGGAT